AAAAAAAGTAAGTAAACGTATATAGTACTGTATATGTATATATGCTATATTATTACATATAAAGAAAGTATTTGATAACAAATCCAATGTTTCAATTAAAGTATTGTCATAATTATACTTAGAATTTAATATATAAATAAGATATATATACAGTATACTGTATATTACAGTATATAATTACGTATCGTTACAGTAAACATTCATTAAATATATGCCTCGACATAAACGTGCATTTTTTTAAAAAAAAACGTGTGCATTTACAAAGGACATTCTTAAGGGTTCTATGATACTGTATAAGCTTTATATTATAAATTTGGAGTTAGTTAATGCGTGTATACATAGTCTATTATAAAATAAACTTCATTTTATCTGTTATAATAATTCAATTATACGTATATCACAAATTCTATATATCACAAATGGTGTAACTTTCGAATTATATATAACTAATAAATACGGTCTTTTTAAAACTATATTTTAACGCGAATATATATAAAAATTGACAAACTACTATATGATGTAATCTAACAAATAATATTTTTGGTTAAATACACGTTATCGTTATGTTATGTTTATTATGTAGTTTCATATTATTAATATTGTTTATTACAACTTTTCTTTCATAAGCAAAAGGTGTTACAAAATTAAAGGTAAATGAATGCTGCAACACTTTAAAATTTTCTTCTATATGGAAAGATTGCGATTAGAATGCTAAGATTTTTAAAAAATTATTCTATATAGAAGGTCAGCGATTAAAGTATTGCGACACAAAAAAAAAAAAAAACTTAAAGTTGGTTAGTTATGATAAGATTTGCTATGGATAGATTTCATATTAATAATCATATATCTTTTTTATTATAAATTTTCTCATTAACGAGTCAAGGTACAACGTTGGTTGGAGGCAAACACTTCAAAGTTTTTCTCTATATGGAAGGATCGGGATCAAAATGCTTAAACATTTGAAAAAGTTTTTCCATATAGAAGTTCCGTGACTAAGAGGTTGCAGCACCAACAAAAAAGAATAAAAGTAATAATAATAAAAACAACAATAGTAATAATTAAAATTGGTTAGTTAATTATTAAGATGTTGCTCAAATTAAACTAAACATTATGTAAAAATATAGCTTTCCGAATTCCCAATGTCAAAATCCAAAATTAGACTGAGGCTTCTTTTTTTTCAAAATTCTTCATTCAATTTTTTTTTTCCTAATCATCTCCTAATCCTCCCATATGAAAAAAAAACGCCAAATTTAACAAAAAATCGTTATTATGGAAAAAATAGCCTATTCCTTACTCCACTTTTACACATAAAAATCCGCTTTTAACACGTACATATTAAGAGTTTCTTTCGATTACAAAGGAAAGCGCTTTCTTTACTGGTGCAAATAATGCTCATGAATAAGGATTTATTAAAGCGCCTTCAAGTTTATGGAAGCTATACGAAATGATGCGCGATAAAACAATAGAATAATGACTCATTATCATCATCTCTTCATCGATGATGTGATGTGTTGATGCATCTCTATGTCTCATCAAATCTCAAACTATTGTTGATATTTGACTTTCATTAAGTAATAAAACCTTACATTATTTCACAAATTCTCTTTGAATTCCACGTAAAAAAGAGACAATATGATCACTTTTCACAATTCTTTAACAACCTTCATGTTCCTACTCATATTCATTGCATTTATATTAGACTTTATAGTTGCATTGCGGCAACTTGAACCACCAAATCCAGATGAGATTACAAAAGGTTTGATACCGTCAAGATCAACTGTCGAACCAGAACCTACAAAGTCTAAATACAAAGGAAAATCAATTGGCGGCATTTCAGGATTATTGAATGGTCTTTCTACTCCAACCTCAGATATTACTAATAATATTCATCAGACAACAACTCCTCCTTTATCAAATATTATAACTCCCACAAAACCTGTTTCAATTAAACCAACTTATAATCCTTCAAATGAACTTCCTAAAGAGACGCATAATCAACCTCCTCATAACAGCTTGGAAAATTCTGGTATTTATAGTGGTGATGAAATTACTTATTCATGGATGGTTCTAAGTGTTGTTTGCGCTTTTTTAATTGGGTTTGTTGGGCTTTTATCTGTTTAATTTTGAAAAAAAATATTTGAATATTTTAAGTATTTAAATATCCTAAAATCAACATTAACGTACGAACTATAACTAATTATGATAATTACGTAGATTATCGTTATCGTTATTTGAATAATGTAATTTTTGTCACCTGACTTTATGTGCATTTGATTTTCTTAATTCTATTAGTTATAATACTGTTTATCTTAATAAGTGATGAATGGTTATCTCATAAATCATTAGTGAGTTATGTAATATTGTATATATTTGTAAATTTTCTTTTTATAAAAGTCTTGTACTGATATTTTTTTCGTTATCAATTGATTAAATAAAAGCTATTATTTAATTACATGCTTAAAGTGCTAAATTTTGAGTATCAAGTTTTTTTCGATGTAGAAACTCAAGCTTTCAAAATAAGAATCCTGATACGTGTATAAGAAACTTTTTGATGCGATTAAAAAATTTGATAAGAAATTACTGTAAATTTATATTCATTAAATCTAATATACCGATACGAACAAATTCAATTTATTAATCTAACTTTGACGTATCAGATACTTTTAAAATATACGTAACGGTAAAACGGTAAATAATGATCTCGGTCAATTAAATTTTGCGACCGACTAAGCCGATAAAATTTATAAAGTTTATCGGCTTAGGGCGTTCTCGAGTACCTCACTCAAAAATGAGTTAAGCATAATCACAAAAATTCATATTAATTTTTTTTTTTTTCTTTCTAAATATTCGTGCATCATGGATGTCGAAGACGAATAGCGCAATGATTACAAGTATGAGGATGCGTGAGTGGGAATGCATCAAATTTTCTCTTGAAATTTTGAGTAGATAATTTAACAATAGCTTAGTTAAATTTAATAAAATTTTTTTTGTACCAATTCAATAAATTTTAGGATTTATTTAACAAAGGTTTGTTAAATTCGGTTAAGCTTTGTGAATCTATCGCATAAGTTTCAATTAACAAATCAAGATTGTTTTATCTATCACAAGTTTCAATTAACAAATCAAGATTTTTTTTATTTATTTATTGATCTAGAAAGAACGGAAGAACCTAAGCAAAGTACTTACTGTAACATCGCCGACTAGATCGTAATAACTGAACAAAAAAAACTTTTTACAGCCCATAAAAAAGTCGTTTGGTCATTGTTTAATTTTTTGTCGATATTATTCAAAAAATGTTTAGAATGGTGTCGCTATAGATATAAAAATATAAATTAAAACTATACAGATTTTATTCTTATATCTACAATATAGCAACTCCGTTCTGAGTAGTTTTTTGAATAATATCGACGAAACTAAACGAAGACCAAACAAACATTTTTATAGGCAATAAAAATATATTTACAGTTTATTAATCATATTCATATGATTAATTTACGTGTAAGTCTTAATAGGCTAGCAAAGTTACCGTGAGCGTTTCATGACATTTATTATTGGAGCTTATAACATAACAGATAATATAGAGCTCTAGATCAAAGACTCGAACCAAGTTTTAATATGTCTCACTCGAGAAACCTAACTTCGTCTAACGGGGATTTGATAATGATTTTTTAAAAACTTGATAGTTTTAGATTTACCCTGTTACAATGTATGCACGTAGAAACCGATGTGCGTGAGAAAAATAGATAAGAGTCACACTGGCGATAATTAACACTACTCAAAAAATTCTATATCTAATCTATACTCCTAATAGTGGAAGACTACGATCGAGGCGTGGAAGAAAGACTTGTCCGAGTATCAGGACAATAGATTAGAGCCCTGGATTATCTGATTATGGATCACGGGATTTGGTTTAGTTTGCTTATGAACTCTGTCGATTTCTCCTTTATTGTGGAGACAGAAAGCATCGTATTTATAATTTCTTCGCTATTCGTGTGTACATTATGAATAAATTCGCCAAATCTACTATACTCGCTAAAATAGCTATGTTGACTATATCCACTAAATTGGGGGAACATAAAGCCAGGTTTAAGGTTAGGATATTTTTTTGATGTAGTTACGTGAGTTTTTACATAATACTTCTGGCCAGATGCCTATTGATTTTTGAATAACTTTAATCTTTTTAATTGTAATTTAAAAAAATAGTCAACTTACCAAATAAAAAATTATAAGTTACACAAAACTCATACCACAGTATATAATACTTAATGAGCTCAAAATCTATTCATTTAAATAATGATAATTTTCGAAAAAAAAATTTTTAAATATAAGTTATGCCATACATGTTTACTTATAGTTTTCTCCTGTTATTACCATTATGTGTAAAATTATTTATATATTATAATTTAAACTAAGATTTCGCTATCCAAAAATTGAACTTAATTTGTATTAATTTCTGAATGCTGAATCGGAAACCAACCATTTTGAAAATTTCATAGAAAGACTTTCACTTCGCTCCTCTCAGCTCCAGCCAATTATATACGGTATTTTAATTGGAAATAAGTCATTATTTAAATTATTAGTTTTTCGTCATTTTAAATTTTGTACATGGCCATTTTAATTAATAACTGCACTATATAGTTTATTAAATGAAATGGAATGACATGTGCTTTAACTTGTAATCGATCAAAAACTACATTATCCTGATTATCAAAAGATTCATTAACTCTTACTGAACATATTCACAAATTAATATTCAATTGTTACATAGTAGGTTAAAAAAAGTCTTGGGATAACATTAGCTCTGACTTAATTAGGAAGTCATTTAACTGTTGTGGCATTTCTGTGGAGACGGTTCGAGATGAACCAGAAGATGATGAAACTCATATTGGTAAAGTAACAATAATTGATAATATCGATGGAGAATTATACGAGGTGTGGAGAGTTATAAAAATGATTAGGGAAATTAGTATTAGCATTGAAAAACTAATTAGGGTTGTTAACACACATGTAGTACAAACAAAAATTTGACAGTCAAATACTTGTGATTATCAAATAGTCAGTAGAAACCAAGCAAATTGTTTCTAAGTAAAATATTTTTTAAACTTAAATTAAAATATCTCAACAATTATTAAACCAAACTTGATAAATTTTTTTTTATTTTTTAATTCTATATAGTTACAGTATAGAATTAAAATAAAAAAAAATTATTAATAGTTGTTGAGATATTTTAATTTAAAGTTTAAAAAAAATTTACTTAGAAACAACTTGCTTGGTTTCTACTGACACCCATTTGACTGTCAAAATTTTGTTTGATTGTGCCGAGCACCACATACATGTAATTTTATTGATGTAAGTTTATTTTAACTGACATAAATTACTTGTAGGTTATGTAAGTTATAAATTCAATAATGCTATAGAAATAGTCACATGATTCGGCCAGATTTAGTAACCTAAAGGGCATGTAAGTTATAGTGCAGTATATAATTTATATACATATAAATAACCCTAAAACTAATATAAATGAATTGTACAACTGCCAATATATGTAATAAAAATTTTTTCTGTTATATTATGTATACATATAAAGCCCGCCCTACGTATTTATTAATACAGACATTAAGTCTGCTATGTTTGAACTGGTACATACGTATGTATGTATGTACATTCCCACGTATAGGGGTGTTAAAAAACTTGAGTAAACTCGAGTCGACTTGGTGTAACACTGAGGTCGACTTAGTCGACTTCTAAATGACTCAAAAAAATCATATGACTGATGATTCTCTAGATTTTATAGATTTTATTATGAT